AAGAAGGCAGAGGAGATGAGAACAGAAGAAGAGAAGAAGGCTGAGGAATTGAAAGCGGCAGAAGAGAAGAATGCAGAAGAGATGAGAGCGGCAGAAGAGAAGAAGGCACATGAGAAGAATGTGCAAAATGCAAAGGAGATGGATGCCGCAGAAGAGAAGAAGGCAAACGAGGAGGATGAGGTGAAAGAAGGACCCGAGAAGAAGCAGGCGGATGAGACGCTTGTTGGTGGACAAAATGCCAAGAGAAAGCAACCAGACGACAAACTAGTGAACGCCAAAAAGTTCAGGGTTTCCTCACACGGTTCCCATTTCACCCAGGAGATAACTCAGCTGACCTTCGATCAGGTTCTGAGCGTTTCCCAAAATTTGCTCCCAGTTGCGGGCAAGAGGTGGCACGCAGAGTTGGACAACTGGCTCCTGCATCTTGAGGAAGATGCTTTCCGTGCCATCTATGATGAGGGCATGTCGGACCCGCGGGTTTCAGACTATGAGAAAGCTGTGACTGAGGAGAATGGTGAGTCATGGACAATCAACACTGACGGAGATCAGGAATTCGAGAACCTCAGTGGCTTCATCGAATGGTTGGTCGAAAAGCCATCGGCTGCCTCGCAGGATGCAAAGAAGGCTGAGGAGAACAAACCGGCAGAGGGGACAGACACACACAAGGAAGACAACAAGGTGAAGGGCGAAGCGTGTGGTGTGAAAGATGAGGCAACCTCAGCGAAGACAAACAAGAAGACCGATGTCAAGAGAAAAGCTGATGAAGTGATCGCACGAGCAGAAGAACTCAAGAGGGAAGCTCAGAAAGCAATAGTGCAAAGCTCACAGGAAGCCAAAGAAGCACACTCCGATGAAAGCCAACCAAACAAGAGTGAGAAAGAGCAGGCTGAGGAAGATGAGCAACAACGACGGAGAAGGTTGCAGGCACACGCAAGGTACATGCGGTACTACCGTTGCATTCGGCGTTGGGGACTGAGTGATCTAGTCATTAGTTCTTGAATTCTTTGTTTGCACATTTTCGATCATATTAGATTTCGAGTATATTAAGCTCCCCGCCGAGATCCTGACACGCCGAAAGAGTTGCGATTGATGGCGCAAGAGGCCAAAGGTAGTACCTTTGTCAAAATTCACGAATGCTGTTGTCAGTGCATGCACTGTTCGATCGATCCACACTATAATAGATCTTGCGGGCCTAGGTAAGTCATTGAACAGTGTGCTCTTTGACGCGTGGAGCCAGTGTGCCGGCAACTGGTCGCGTAGCAAGTTCCTGATGAACATCCGCGAGCGCCACTCCTCCAGGAGGAGAGGCGTTCGCAAATGGTTGTTTGCCCATCAGATGGACGAGGTGTTTGGGAAGGAGGTGGCCGAAGGGATGCGAGAGCGGAAGCGCATGGACCCAGATCTGTGGGAATCAGAGACCAGATTTCATCCAGAATGCCCACAGCAGGAGGCTAGGCTCTTTTTCTTTTTGAAATAAGTTGCACGCTTTCAAGCTTGATTTGTTTCTTGAGCTTCCCAAAATCCAGTACGGCCTCCGCGGCGACATCGCTGCCAGGAGTTCAGACAATATCTATGCCTTGTGGAGGACGCCCATGAGGATGAACACTGCGAAGAAGTGGACCGTTTGTACAGCTGTTTGGACCAAGACTCTGACAGCAGTGACGCAGGCTCGACTGGCAAGAAGCGTGGCAAAGCAGAAGCACAGCCGAAGACCAAGGCTGGGCAATGAGCCTTCAAACTCTAAATTGATATCGCTTCCGCTGCACATGTTGTGGGAATAGCTCATCAATCATGTCCAATTATAAAGAGCATGGCAACTAGTACAGTAGTTGGTGCAGGAGCAGAAGGAAAAGGAGAAGTCGGCTAAGCAAGCCCAGAAGGCAGCTGAGAAGGAGAAGGAGAAAAAGCAGGAGGAGAAGGTGAAGGATAGGAAAAGGGAACGTGAAACGAAGGCATCAACTTCCAAGGGGAGCTCTTCGTCGACAGCGAAAAAAACTGCAGCAGCAGTTCCGCCTCCGGCGAATGAGACACCTGAACAAAGAGAGATCCGCGAACGAAAGGAGGAATATGATAGGCTGCAGAAGGATGCAAAGAAGGACCGCATTATCTTCGAAGTTCATCCATCCATGCATGTTTTCATGCTCCTTCTGGTATACTAGCTAGCTGGTATATAGTTGAAATATAGCTTCGTCGCTCCTTTTGAGAAATAAGACTAATATTTGTCATCAAGTGTCAATCCTACCTGGAACTGTCCTCCTTAACTGACTTGAACTGATCCAGGCGGTCAATGAGGCGAACGCAAAGTTGAAATGGGCACTAGCACTGTTGGTCGACAACCTGAAGAACCTGCCAATGCCTCAACATACGTGCTTGCAATAGTAGTGGCCTACTTTCCGACACTGGGGTTGTCAAACTCTACCTCTCTCAGGTCAGACAAGTATGCCGCATCAGTGAAGGAAGACTGCGATGAGAAAACAACCATTGTCCAGGAGTCCAGAGTCCTTGATTTTTGCTTTATATTTCACGGAGCGTATGCTCGTGCAGGACCGCCGGAACAATTTACAAACAGAAATCGACATGGGAAAGGCCTGCTTTGCAGTTTTGCCCGATAGCAACTCCAACCCCACACAACTTGGAGGCCATCGCTAGTAGGTTGGAGGCCATTGGGAGGCCATCACTAGTAGGTTGGAGGCCATGTGCATGTAGGCCATCGCTAGTAGGTTGGAGGCCATTAGGAGGCCACCGCAGTAGGTTGGAGGCCATGTGTAGGCCATCACTAGTAGGTTGGAGGCCATTTGGAGGCCATCGCTATCCCATCCCCCTCGAGTCCTGCATCATGAGTCTCTCGCGCGCAGGTGACGCAAAACAGCATCGACGCCTGCGATCGTGCACGCAAGGAGTTGGAGAAAGCTTGTGAACCGTTGAAAGTAAAAAAAAGCTCGTAAGTCTTAGACCGAGCTTCGTTTTGATTTTGAGTGTTTGACCACAGCCCCCAAAGAACCTTGGGTAGCTCCTACAACCTGTTTTTAAAAAATATTCATGCAAGAACTGGTCCACAATATGAATTCCTTGTCTTTTATGTATATAATATATATAATATATGTGTTCCGAACTCAGGGAAGGCTGTGGTCACATGCAGCATACCTAGCAGCTGTCAGGTGGCTTGCACGGTTGCATCCATGCAGGGTGACAGCCATTTGTGCTGTCAGGGAGACATGTGAGCTCCCGTGCGTTCACACTTAGGATTAGCTAAGCTGTCAATCTTGGATCATGTGCCAATCGCATGCACACTTTAGGAGGATGTCGCTGGATCAGGCAAACAGCCCTGACCCGCATAAGGGATTGGATCTCGAGCATCGACCAAAGAGCGTGACATATTTACCTAGAACATCCTTGAACCCAATGACCTCGTTTTTGATAGGAAAAATACCATATTTTGGGTAGTTGACCCTATCTGAGGTCCCTCAGGTTCTAGGTATATTATACATCGTTGGCACCAATTTGAGCGCAATCAATGCTATGTGCAACACGGTACATACCTGACTTCAGAACTATGATCGTGTGCCTGTAGGTGATGGAGCACCCGGCCCTTTGGAGAAGGACATCTCTGAGAGAATTGCTTCAGGGGAGCCTTGTCCTGGATCACGGGTGCACATATCATGAGAGTCGCTGGTATATTTATTACATGCATGTTTGTGTCCCGCGATGTGCACCAAACGTTCCCAGGAGAGCAGTGTTTTCTCTGCCATGCGATCGGCCAGATCGACCTATGCGGAGTTTTGGAGCGTTAGTGGTTCACCTTGTACTTGTGCAATTGTGTTTCATTTACAGTTCTGTTACGTTTTGCACCTGCATCCCAACGTTTTGTACCATTTTGTACCTGCGTCCCGATTAGGCCGTTCGGCGTCACTGAGGAAGCCCGAGGACACACAACTTCCTGGACTGCAAAGTTGTCAGGCTATGCCCCAGGACGCAATGCTTCTCGCGACTTCTTTAGGAATACTTCCTTGCCTGTTGATCTTTGGTTGCATGAATCGATCGTTCGAGTGATCTCAATTAGGGTGTGAGTTTGGTGATTCCATCTTGATTAAGGAGCCCGAGAACGTAAGTGTCAAAATCAACGGAAAGGATGGGAAGCCCGTCCAGGTCAATATGCAGATGCTTTCGCCAGAGGCGATAGTCAAGCACCTTTTTTCCTGCGGGTTGGAAATCGATGATCGTCTTGTGGAATCCTATTGGTCCCATCTTGAAGATGTCAATGATGATTGGGCTGCCCAAACATCAAGTTTCCGCGAAGCAGTGAGCAGGCCTGTCTTGCCACTTGGGTGTTACGGTGACGAGGCCCAAGAGGGCCTCCAGAATGCACCACTTCTCAAGATTTTTGGAATCTTCATGAACCTTCCTCTTTACAGACCAAAGGCCACTCGATTGAGCCGGTACTTGATCTTTTGCATTGAGTCCAACAAGCTCTACTCCGTCCAGGAGACGCTGTTTCCTGTGCTGCGCAGGATGGTTGAGAGCTTCAACATGCTGACTCAGATCGGCATTGGTGATCGAAGGTTTTTGGTCTCGGAGGTGCGGGGAGACCAAGTGTTCATCCGGCAAATATTTTCTCATAAGAGTATGTGGACATCGCATCAGATTTGCTTTCGCTGCGCAGCATGCACGGGTGGACCCCTGAGCTACACTAATTATGATGGTGAGTGGGCAAACACCTTGAGGTCCACGAGGGAGTTTGTTCAGGACGAGCTTCCTGCAGAGGAATGTCCGCTTGTGGACCTGTACTTCTTCAACATATCGGTAATAAAAAATTGTACTTTGCATGTGATCAACCTTGGTCTGCTGGGCGTTGCAAATGGCAGCGCCTTCGGCATGTTGCTAGACCTTCAGTGGTGGGGCGATACATCTAGTGGCTATGACGAGCCAATGTCAAAAGCGTTTGACGCCTTTACAGCATGGCGCAAGGCTCGGAAGATCTACACGTCTCAGCCACGGTTCCGGCCAAAGGCCCTTCTGCGGGAAAACTACGGCTTTTTCTTGAACTGCAAGGGATTCAATGCCAGAGTTGTTTGTGAATGGTTGAGACACACGCTGGTTGATCTCAGCGCATCGCCTCAGCGGCACATGGATGAGCGTTCCGATCTTTGCTTGGTGGCAATGATTCTTGGCTGCACTGCCCGGGTACGTTTGGGTTTCACCATGCCTCATTTGTGGCTGACCGTTTTTGGCGCAAGTATAAACCAGGGTTCAATTTGCCCCACGTTGCTTGCTTCCGTTGCAGTCTGTGCGCAATGGTGGCTGATTCGGGCTCCGTGTTTCTCAGCGACATCGTGCTTTTGAGCGCCTTACCCTGCGTAATTTTCATTGGTGCGCTTCTGTGGTGCATCAACCAGGCGAAAGTGTTTACTGTGAGCTTGGGTGTCGGAAGGACACAAAAGACTGACGAGGTGAGCTCGGATTACCATCTCCTTCAGTCGAAACATGCGTGCTTACAGCAACGGTTCGCTGCCATGGAGGTTGAGCTTGAAGAGCTTCGTTTGGAGTTGACGCACCTGCGCACTACTGGTTCTCACTCTGATCGTCGTAGTACTATATATGTTACTACCAAGTCAGGTAAGTGTTGGCACGCCGATGCAAATTGTCGGCATGTGAAAACGAACTCTGCAGTTTCACAATATGTGCCATGCACTAGGTGTGTGCGACCAGGCACGTTAGTGTAGCCAGATGGAGGATCCTCCTTATAGTACAATAGTAGTTTGACCTACAGAGCCCAAGAGGAGTGAACAAGGGATTAGGTTCTTGTCAGCACAATTCAGCACACATATATATGCTCCTATAGGTGTCCACAACAATCCCAGCGGTGGTCAACTGGTCAACCCAGATTTTGTCAACACAGGTAGCTGCTCCCTCTTGTTGCGTCCACAAGTTTGGAAATAGGTGACGCTGCCTAGTACTGGTGGAGAGCCCAACAATCCCAGGGGTGGTCAACAGGTCTAGATATTGGAGCTCATTTCCCAATCCAAGGACGGCCATTGCCCGCTACTTTGGCCTGACTGAGAGATGCGGCAGACTTCTGCAGCTTGCCCGCATCATGGCACTGGTGAGGAGAAGAACACAGCAATTGTCAGTGGCGTTCATTTAGTGGTGAATCCTTTGCGGGGAAACCCAAATGAATTTGAGGACACTGCATCAAGCAAATGAGATTGAGAGATCTGGTCGCCAATTTCTGCTGGCCTACAAGAAGCTGGCGGCTATCAGCTTGAGGCCGGTGCGGAATGTCTGAGGAACTTTTCTGGTTTTGTTCTCAGAACCTGCTCCCCTGAGATTGGAAAAGCTCAGCTGGGTCATGGTTCCCAAGTGGCACGTGCTAGCCTTGAATGCCTGAAGTTCATGAAGTCACTTTCAACAGTAATGTACTGCGATCCAATCGATAGATCGATAGAGCTAGTTCTTGGACCCCTGATTGGCTAAGTCGATGTGCCACATCTTGCAAGATGATGTCAAAACCAAACGACACTCGGCAGTAGATTGTGGCTTCCTAGCTCTCTCCCTATCTCCGTCTCTGTGCCTTACGTTTGTTGTTTCGATGGTTTCCTTGAACCCACGAGCGCACGAGCTCCTGAGGATTGAACCCGCGTTTCTACCACACTTTTACCGATGAGGATTCGATGAAACGGCTAAAAAGCTGGGCAGTTCAGTCCAAAAGAGCTGAATGTAGAGAGAGGGCTGTACTTAGACTCTCGCGGGTTTCCTTGAAGACGCTTGCGTGGCGCCTTGTGTAAAAGGTGTGAGATGGCTTTTCTAGGGAGAAGATGGGAAAAGTAAAACATCGCCTTTCACAACGGCCATGTGGTAGAACTTGATCCTCCAGCAACGGCCTAGTTAAACTTGATCTTTGAAGCTTAGGGTATATATTTCACATGTAAGTACCAGGGTGGCCGTATAATGTAAGTACCCAATCTGTCAGGCTATGGCAATGATTGGGCTGAGACGCAGCTTCTTCCTGGTCATGTATACCCTCCTCTCAAAGCGGGCGAGGTGTTTATGGACCTTGAGGATTCACAAGACCCAAGTGCACTGCCGGAGGTTAAGGCAGTCGATCCTAAGGCCTGTTAATCAATCATGGATGGGTGTTTTATGTTATATTATCAACTGTCCCCTTATTTGCTATAACCACATTGGACAAATTAGCTGAAAGCCGCCACCTAAGTGGCTTCTGTTCGTGCTAGCTGTATCTGAGAAGTGAACATAGCAGTCTTGTAGAGTATATGCGCGCAGTTTTAAATTTACTGTTGCACAAAATATGTTGTTTGCTTTGTTTCAGCTCTGCTCGAGTCGCTGCTCCAACCGCTACGAGGCACTCCTTACTCGCAAACTTCAGCTGGATCTCAAGAACACACTGGAAGAAGAGAGGAAAGCCAAGGGTGAAAAGTCAGAGGCGGAGCCAAAGAAACGAGCTACGGCCAAGGCAAAGGGCAAGGCTAAAGCCAAAGCAAAGACCAAGGCCAGCGCCATGGAGGACATAGCTGAGAGGAAAGCTATGGAGAGTTTGACGGTCGCTGAGCCAAAGCCAAAGGCCAAGTCGAAGGGCGGCCGTTTGCGCAAGATGATCAGAACACCTACTCCGCCTTCCTTCCGGGAGAGGATGTCGGAATCCCGTAAGCGGGTCAGGGAGGCATCTCCAAAGCCTGCAGTGTCTGAAGAGGATTCAGACATTGAGATCGAGCTGGCGATAGAAAAGGCAGCTCAGGAAATCAACATGGAGGTGGCAGATGTCAAGATGTCAGATTGCCCAACTCCCAAGAGGAGGCTCTTTGCGACTGACGATGAGGCCACAGCTCCAGCTTCCAACGTCAATGCTGCCAGTGCTGATGGACATCGTCCCTCAGAAGCTGAAGCACCGAAGGCGAAAAGGAAGCCCAGGGCACGCAAGTCGAAGGATGCTGAGCCTGAGGTGGATCCACCTGCAGCAGAAGCGGCCCCAAAGGCCAAAGCAAAGGCAGCGAGGAAACCTCGACGAAAAGCTGTCCAAATCGATGTGGCCAACGAGGACTTGCAAGATGATTTGATGCGGGACATCATTCGCAGCAATTTCAACAAGGTTGAGAACTTGGACCTCGATTCATTCAAGGAGTTTTGCATGGCCATGGAGAAAGAGGCCGACCTCAAGAACTCCAAGACTGTGCCTTACTGGACCCGAGCCAGTTCAGGTGTCAAGTGGTTGGCACAGCCAGGTGCCCCACAGGTTGCCTACTTCTCTGTGTCGGACTCCAACGTGACGAAGTCCGTTTCTTGGAACAAGCGGATGTTGGCGATGCATGCATCAGCTGTGCTTTTCGCTGCTTGCCTGTATACAGTTGTTTTGCATTTTTCGTGTACGAATCGCACGAACATGTTTTGTTGAATGTGCTTGCCTAAACCCTGGCCTTGCTCAAGGCTGTGTGGATCGATCAGCAAGACCTCTTCGATATCTACACCGAGAGTGATGATAACCGCCGTTTCAACTTGGAAATGGCCAAAATCAAGTTCAATGGTCAGCGTGCTTTAGAAGGCGCTTAGACTTTAAATCGGAATGAACAAGTCTGTTGGATTTTAAGAGATTATCTTGCTGGTCTAGAAGTCCAACTCTTTAACTTACAAGACAAGCGGCTGTTGCTTCAAAGATCTTTAGATTCTGCACCATCTGAGCGCCGCAGCGGAGTTGATCAGTGTTCCTTGGTTGGGCCTATGTGCGATTACGCACATGAGATTTTGCAATACACAGCAGGTATGGGGTGAACCTCATGCTTTTGAGCTGCTGTAAGTACGTGAGGGTGTCAGGGGGGAAGACCCTACAGGCGACATGGAAAAATGGTGAATTGGTATGTTCTTTACATTTTCACCTTGAGGCGATATGTTATGATATGTTTTGCTGCCGATTTAGATTGCCCATAGCATCAGCATATACATCTTATACCTGTGGGGCCTATCAAACCTTCCGAGGTCTGAATGCCAAAGCTCAACAAATGGGCTATCAAGGCAGGCCTTGACGACGATCGAGGTTGGGCTGGCCAATTTACTCTTTGAATGGTACGTTTAAGAAAACTGACCGTGCAGCCGGGGAATTCACCTTCCGGAAATGATCGAGATGCATGTTGTTGCATTGATTTATCACATCTGCAGCAATTTTGTGAAGCTAGAGTTAAAGCATCGGGCCTGGTGGTGTAGACACTGTTTTGAGTTGGGAGGTCCTAACTGCTTTACCTGTAAGATTCGGCAACCACTGCACGCTGCTAAGTTTGTTGTTGATACTTCATATAGTCCGCGCAGCGGTGTGTCCGTGCTAGCTTGCAATGGCTCTTTCTAGGGAGGCAGTTTCTGCCTTGGCAGCAAAGTTGGTGGCCTTTCAAGTTCCGAAGGCCATTCGGCATTGATCGATTGTTGACTGGCACATATGGTGTACATGAGAATTGCAAGGAGAAAGTAAACTTGCACTAATTGGTATTCAACCATGTTGGTTGAGGCGTTTCTTCTGGCGGTAGTCCTGGCGGCGTTCACTATCGTTCCGCATTCAGTGGAACATGACCATGAGGCCTTCCATTTGACAATAGCAACGGCGTGTTCATGTTTTCATACCTGAATCTAAGAATGCTACAGGGTTGGATGTCTATAGAGCCCTGCTCAGGTCAATGCATTTGAATGCATTGAATTCTTCGCTGGAAAGGGACAACTGACTCGGACACAGCAGTTGTCCGGACGGGCCGCTGTTCGTCTGGACATTTTGGACATGCAGCCCGATTCCCGTGGGAAGAACGTCATGGACATACTATCTCCAGAAGGGTTTGCGTTCCTTGCATTGTAGGGACATGTTTCTCTTTAAGGGTACAGTACTTTTATATGGGAAAACCAGTAAATATATGTTTACTTGGCTTGTGTTGCAGCTAAGTTTTGCCATCATCACGATTCTTCGGGGACACCCTGACGGCTTCTTATGCCACTTCGGCATTAAGTGTTCCAGTTGGTCTACGGTGAACGTTGGCACATCTTCACGGAGTTTCTGTACACCGGTTGGCAACACGCTTTTTAGATCGGTGAGAACCGCAAACACGATGGCATCAAGGTCGACTGCCAGGGCATTGGCAACATTTTGCATTATTATATATTATAGCTATATAGCTGGTAAGGGTAGCTGGTCAGTCATGCATACCAGCATGCGTGCATCGAGTGGGTGCAGTCAGAAAGTTAATGAGGGCGGCTAGCCGGCTAGCCCTCAATGCCTACACCTACCTACAGTACCCGAACCACCAACGGAGTTTTGAACCCAACTTGATCGGTTGTGTCACCTTTTATAACCCAAAACTGGTGTCTGTCTTTAGCGTCCACTGAATCACCTTTTTTGTGTTGACAGGGCTCCACAGCAAACATGGATCATTACTCTCACCGTTTCCTTCTACGACATGCTGGCGAAGGGGGGCACATGATCCTACTATCCACCAAATATGATAGTAGCAAGAATTGTTTTAATAGCTCCTTGTGATTTGCTCCAAACCCACCTGCATCCTGCATCCAAGGGTGGCTTTGCTATGTGCTCTTGTGGTGTGCCTGGGTGGGACTTTCACCTTAGAGCAGCCTCATGGCTCTTTTCTGGAGTTTTATCCCCGTTGGCGTTGGTTCCTTCAACAACTTGTGGAACATGGAGGTCCCAATTCCGTGAAACGCTTAGTGAACACACGCTAAACACAATGGCCGGTGACCTGCTGTTCAAATTCGTGGAGCAATCAGAAACACGAGGTTTCCCAATTCCTTTTCAATTGATCTGTTACTTTGTCTGAGGTGAACAAAGCTGTATGGCATATGATACATTACGGAGGTCCTACTCCGAAGAAGCATTGGGCTTTCTCAAATTCACCAACCATAAAGGAACTTTATCGGGGCCGCCTACAGGGATGGCTGCAGCGTCCAAAGGAACTGCGAGATCAAGTTCGCACTACGACGGTCTACTGGGACAAGAAGGGCAAGAGAAGGTACAAAGGCAACCCCAACCTTCGTAAGTCTGAGTAGGCTTCTCAGTTTTCATGGACCTAGACTGTAGCTGTGCTCACATGGAGCTGGGCTGTAAAGTACATGGGGAACAAGAATTGAGCATGCAAAACCAATACCATGCGAGCACAGCAAGAGACGGCAAACAAGCATAGTGCATTTGGTGAACAGCTTTGATATGCTTTGATTATCAAACACTCAGCCTCTTTGTTCCTAAGATCTTTGCTGTTAGGATATGATCTTGCAAGTAGCATGCGTGTTTTGCATCTCAAACGCTCTTTCTTCCGCTAAGGGAGTATCCTGTGATGTTTGGTCTCAAGATGGTCGAACTGTATGATGCCTTGGTGGGCACTCGAACGGGCATGCCAACGCTTCCACCCCGTCTGCCACCGTTGGACGAGACTCTTGCTCAGGCTCTCGATCAGGACGAAGAGAATGATGCGGAGTCCTCCTGGGCTGAAGCGGAACTGACAGCTGTGGTGCGGTATTTGAGGGGAGGAAAGTCTTTACAACTACCCTTGGATGTCCGCACTGTTCTCCCTACCAGATTTTAGTTTGTCTTCGATCAAGGTTTCCCACACACATAGGTGTTCGAAGTGGGGTGATGACCAAATTCGACGGACCCAACTGGTCTATGTCCGGTTTGGAAGCGTAATCTACCGTAAAACCCGTAAATACCCGTAGTTGAGCGTAATGTACCCGTAGTTGACTTATGAATACCTGGTAAAGTCAAAACAATAACCAGGTAAACAACGTACTACTTCTACCCGTAAAATCGGTACCCGTAAAAATTCGTAAAATACCCATAAAAATCCGTAAAATACCCGTAAAAAAAATATGGGTATTTTGATGCTCACCATCATCCTGACTCTTTGGGTTTCGATCGACTTCTGTGCGGTTTGTGTGGGAGACCAACCGAATTCACAAGCTGTGAATACCAGCTGGTTTGCAAATTAGTGATCTTTTGAGAGATGTGCACGATACAATAGAAAAGTTAGCTTATTCAACGAGAATTGTTGAATCAATAGTCAATCGGAAGAGTTCTTCACAGCATTATATGTTAACTTTGCGGAGTTCATGAACATGTACAGCTGCCACTTGCACTGTGAATAGCTAAGCCGGTGTTTGCAGGACTTGCGTGCGCTTCTAGAGGTTAAACTCATGCAAGTTGCTAGATCTGCTTATTGTTGCAACATTCTGCTGACTGTAAAAATTCTTTCTGGATCGGACATGCACCAAGTGAGTGCTGGTAGTTGCCTACAGTTGTCGCAGGTAGCATTGAGTCATGTTTGGGGTAAAGGCCACCTCCGTTGCCACACTCCCCTCACGGCAGTGGTCGCAGCCAGAGCTCGGCAGCGGCCTTGATCAACTTCTTGGGGACCTGAGATCAGCAAAGCTTCCAGATAGTTTGGAGGAGCTCCAGGCTGTTCACCGTGCTTTTATAGTGCTTTTTTTTTCTCAAGCTCCACCCATGTTAATGCAATGAACAGCTGTTTGACATACGATGTAGCGACGGTCCTTCTTGGGGGTCAACAATCATTGGGTGGGCAACTGCTGAAGGCTTTGGAGAAGAAATTGGCCGATATTCAAGCTCAACAAAGCACCGTGCACACCTGAGAATCCTCTAAGATCTGCAATAATATACACAAAATCTACTGCCTATATATATGAACCCTCATGTTCTATGGTCTTGGTTGCTGTGGTAAGGCTGCTGCCCAGGCAGAGTTGGAAGAAATGGAGATACAGGAAATCGAACAGAAGATTGCATCAAGGGCTCGGAAAGTGGTACCTCTCTCAAAGCACCAACCTTTTTGTGAATCAAATGTATGGATTACCATTCTTGATTAGACATGTGTGGTTTCGTTGGTTTGAGGCGACCCCACAGGAAGGGACCAGACAACCTCCGCGCCAATGCAGCTCAGGGTCACAGGCAGTGGAGACCATCCAGGAGACACAGCCAGACGATTCCCAGTTTCCAGAGGCGGAAACTGTTCCGGGTGAACCTGAGGCACACCGTAAGGCGTCCAGCGAGCCACCTTCGCATCCTATCCCGGTGAGTCCTTCCCCAGCCACTCCTATTCATGCACCTGCTGAGAACGGTGATGCTGTGTTTTGGCTTCAACAAATGCGTTTTTTGCACGAACATACGATGAGCATGTATTACATGCATGTTCATCAGACTGCATTATGTGCCCAGGCTTCCTTGATGAGCGTGCTCGAATCTGTGAAGAGTGGCAAGCTTGACATGACCAAGGCACTTGAGGCCCTGATGAAAGGTCAACACACGCCACTGCCTGCAAATGGGACTGAGACGCCATCAAGTTCCGCCAACTCACGCAGCAAGCGTGCCCTCTCACCCGCACCCACTGAAGCAGGGGATTCTGTTTCAGATCGGTCTAAGAAATCGAAATTTGATGAGGTGGCTCGTCACAAAAACCTCTGAACACATGTCGTGTGCGCGTTTCTTTCGATCGACAAATGTCTTCTCGTGACATTTATTGCTGAGGAAGTGGAGAAGCGCCGGAACCGACTCAAGGCCAAGCTTCGCCGAGCATGTGAAGTGAAGAAAAACGGCAAAATGACGGTACCAGTTTGGTTGCATGAGATGTGGAAGTCCTCGAACAAAGACGACATGGCAGAGCGTTTTGAAAAGTGTGGCTTTGACACTGACGCTCAACTCCCATACTAGGTGCCTTCTTCCCCACCATGAAGCTGCATGCAGCATAGATATCTATTCAGCCGCTGCCTAGGAAAAATTCATCAAGGTCTGCCGGAAGATCCACACCAAAACCGAGGCCAATGAGAACAAGGTGGATGAAGGATGGTATACTAAGGAAGAGATGTTCAAAGTGTTGCATTGGAATGCGAATCTCAGCCGTTTCATTGAAACCAATACGTGTTTGGAGCCCGCACCATATAATATGTTTCATAGCGTGCGTATAAGGAAGCGGGTGGAGGGAGCTATGAAAGTCTGTCGACAAGATCCAACCCTTGTGAGGCACACGTTGTTTGAATGTTTTTTTTTGGACAAGGCACGTATCAGCAAATCAATCCACCTTTCCCAGCATCTCCTTCACAGTGGCCTGCACAGGAAGAACCGATATTCCGGAGAAGAAGAGTTCTGCGTCGAAGTGCGAGAGACCGGTAGCAGGAAGCAGGAAGTAACCAACACAGAAGAACGCATTCACCAGGGAAAGGACCAAGTTTGGTTTGTATGTCATATTTGGCAACATCTTGTTCCTATAGTGGCTATCTAGTCTCACAAACCCACAGGACGAGGATAGTACTCCTTTGCCGGCAGCCGATGGGGTTAATGTGGAGGGGGGTGGGCAAGATGACGGATAGGTTTTTGGCTCGTTCCAGTGGGCAGTGCGAGGAAGCTAGCGAGGCCTTCTGATCAATACTGTAGTGAATGCATACCAATTTGCAACAACATGAGTTGTGTCAAGGGTCATTTACTACTGTTACCTTCTCCAGGCCCTAACCGCCAAAGAAACCTTCCGGCGCTTTTGTGACTCAGTCCTTCAAAAGTCTTGCAAAATCCGGTCTCTTATCAGTGACCTCAAGCGGAACTACCCCGATGATGAGATGGCCACAAAGTCATAGGCTTATACTGATCCTTTCTTTAGTTCAAGCCCAGCTGCATGTCAGCCACCATGATCCTCTTCCGGCTTTCTTGCATCAGGTCGGTCGTGGCATTGGAGAAGGATCTGTCGACCTTGGATAAGGAGTTCACCAAGCTTAGCGACTGCTTGGCCAAGGGTGAACAGGATGAGTTCAACAGCACGTCTCCAGCCAGTGTGAAACAATCAAATGCTGTTTGCCACACAGTTCTTTGAGTGCAGTTTCTTCCAAATGTTCACTGGCAGTTATGCAAACACAAGGTGGAAGACGGAGTCTGAAAAAATGATGAAGACTTCAACCTTCACGTGCCACAGTTGCGATTCAACAACATGCACATGCATGCATGCATGCGTGCATGGATCTGTTCATGCAAGTTCCTGGTAGTAGCAGCTTAGGTGCACTCAGATCGCCCAGAATGAGATTCGCATCCGGAGTCTCGTCGAATTTCATCGCCTCATGAAGCTATGTGTTGCAATCACCTCACATGCAAGACCATGTCATGGCTGTATCATTTGCACATGCCCATTGAACATATTGTTGTTCTGTGGTTTCTATTCGAGACCACTTAGGAATGCCAAGCGCCACTTCCAGAAAGCGGAGAAGGAGAAGGAACATGAGTGAGTAGGCATTACCCTTTGCAAACTTGTATCCACGTGTTCTTTTGACACGCTTTGGGGTAGCCCATGGCCACTTGAACAAAGTGCATTTTGGGCCCTGGGATGATGACACAATGCCTTAACCCGATGGTGATTGGATTGTTTGGCCATTTTTGTTTCGTACATACAATAAGCAAGATACCTTAAAGCCTATGGGTTGGCGGCGCCTGGTGTCATGCAACAATTCTAGACTAGATGCACAATTGATGCAGTTTCAATCAAAAGAGACACCGATGATCGAAGGGTTGGAACAAAAAATACTGCGTTACGGATTTGCACAGTTGCGCTTGTATGTTGCCAACTCAATGGTACCAAACAATTTGTATCCTGGTGCCAGGTCCTGGACCAACAGCAAGAGTCTTCGCTCGCAATGTCGGAAAGGGAGCCTGGTTCTCAGTCTCATTGTACCCTGTGGCTCACTTTGCCACACCCGCATTGGCCGTGCAGTTTTTTTTCAACCTCTCAAAAAGAACATGCATACTACTTTTTGGAATATATAGTATAATACACCATACTTCACCCACCAACCTCTTCGCGCAGCAAAGCTGAAACAAGTTCAGTCCCACCTGGTCTGCAAGCCTAGTGACAGATGCAGCCATGTGGGTTTTCATGCCGTGGTGTAGATCTCGGTGGTCGCCGTATCATTAAAAAATGTGACTCAACTTCATGTTTCTTAGAAAACAATTCCACAGACTTACCTTTGTTTACCTTCTGCTGCCAAGTCATATAATAGGAGAAAGTAGCTTTATAGGTTTAAGAAAGAACCATTTGCAAGCTGTCTTGCCTAAATCCAAAAAACCATTCAAACCCGTTGTGGATCGAGAATTGAACCCCGAGCAAAAAACTCTGAACATTTCAAGATTCTGGAATGCCGGGGGAGCCTTCAAAGCAGCTGCATCGATGCAAGGGTCACATGGCAAAACGAGGATCTGAAAATGCATGTCGTAAAGGTCAAATGGCTTTGTTAGCCAACATGTTTGGAGTTTGTACTCGAACAGGAGGATCCAAGAATACCGTTTTGAATTGGTTTTGCCAAGCCTACGTTTGCCAGCTTCAAAGAGTTCCGTGAGACAATGAACTGAGTTGAGACACCCCATGGATAGTTCTGGGAGTTGCTGCTGTGCATGGCACTCCTCGATCGATCTAACCGAACATGATTGATGTAACATTGGGGACCGTGAGCAAAATAGAAAATAGAAACGCTAAGGAACACAGTTGTCCGATGTTGTCCGCTGTGTTTGGGTGCATAGATCGATCATTCAGCAGCTTTTGCT